CCCCAAAACCCCAAAACCCCAAAACCCCTATTTGGAAAAATAAAATTGAATATTTTAATTATTTATGAGCCAAGAAGCCAACCCAGACCAAAAGAGTGATGCTCAAGAGAGTGCCGTCGAGAATCAACCAGAGCAACCTCAAGAGGTTGAAGAGCAACCTATTCAGTCGGAAGATCAGCCACAGGAGCAGCTAGAGCAAACTCCAAAGAAGCAAACTAATGAGGAATATATGAGGACAATGGAACATCATAACGATTACGATAATATCCCTGATAACAAATCTGGGGGCACTAATCTTGCGATAACTCAGGGGAATTTCCATCCTCGAAGCACCTTCCACGCTAGAAGCACTGAAAGAAGTGGTGCAGGTTCTCGCCGCTTTAGTAAACTAACCTCAGGTTGGAATGATAGATTCCATATGTCACCTTCAACACATAATAAAAAGTCTCACACTTTTTATAAAGAGTTCTTTAGTAAACCAACAAGAAGTACCCAAACAAATATCTTGAGGCATAAGAAGTTCATCGACCCTTACCTGCTTAATGAGAGAAAGTCGAGGATTCCAAAATATTCCAAACTTTACAAGCAGAGGGACTTTCAGGGGGAGCTAAACTGGGTTGACAATTTCTCAGTCACTTCCTCGAAGAACAATGGTCAGCTCCATCACACCTATAAGGAATACTTCGATAAGCCACTAAGCTACAAAGGGCACATCACTGTTGCGACTAAATAAAGGTGTTGGAGAAATCGGAGGGAACCATCAGATTTCCATGCACAAGCCGACAGCGACACTACATGTTCTGAGACAAGACAGTAGTAACAAGTACACAATCCACAAGGACGTCAGCAAGTAAGCCTTAATTCTAAAATTCCAGATCAATCGAGCATAATGCGATGATTCCTTTCCTAAGAGACCATAGAGAGAAGTATACTCTCGGTAGGAGGTCTCTCAAGCAAGCTAAGAAGCTCAGAACTAAATCTGAGATCAAGAGAAACTTCGAGAAGGAGAAAGGATGGAACAGAATTGGTTTCCCCATCTCCTTCCACAACGAAAAGAGCTTCTTCAAAATAAAGTTTGAAGATATCTAACTACACAATTGCTGGTAACTTGAAAGATTCTCAATAAAATTAAGGCAAGGAGGGGTTTTGGGGTTTTGGGGTTTTGGGGGTTTGGGG